AATCAAAGTTTTGATTAAATTTTTCTTCAAAAATTTATTATTTTAGTTTTCAAGATTTATTGTTTTTACACAATCATGTTCTTCATATTAGAGATTATATAATCTAAAAAATTGGGTCCAAAATCTATCCAAAAAATGGAGAATAAAGAGGGGGCCACATATTACATATGAGTCCTAGGACTTGTAAAAACCATGTCTTCAAACTATCCCAAACAATAAATTAGGATTTTCCAAAACCAGTTCTCTTCTTTTTAAGATTATTTTAGAAGTTGATTGAGGTTTGGAATTACTTTTAATACATGGGATTGTAGTTAAAAAAAAAAAAAAAACTAAAAAATACATAAAAAATAAGTAATAGTTTAACGATATGAAATATATTTAAAAATTCACCTTAACTTTGTTTTAAAGGGTTAAAGGTGTGTTTTAAAAAACGGCAAGTCGAACCGGACTCGCCCGGTTCTACTCGAAAACACGCGTGCCCGTGCCGGTTCCAACCGAAAACCAGGAACCGCCCGGTTCTAGAGTGGAACCGCCGGTTCCCATCCGATTCAGACCGATTCTAAAGTGGAACCGTCGATTCCCATCCGGTTCAGCCCGGTTCACACACGTAACACATGAAACACACGTGCGAGCGTGCCCCACGCACACTCACATGTGCACACGTGTATCTAAGCACACGTGCGAGCGTGCCCCACGCACACTCACACGCGCACACATGTGTTCGAGCACATGTGCGAGCGTGCCCCACGCACACTCACACGTGTGTCCGAGCGCACGTTAAAAGTTTAACGATATGAAATATTTAAAAATTCACCTTAACTTTGTTTTAAAGGTTTAAAGCAGTGTTTAAAAAACGGCGAGTCGAATCGGACTCGCCCGGTTCTACTCGGAAATACGCGTGCCCGTGCAGGGTTCCAACCGAAAACCAGGAACCGCCCGGTTCTAGAGTGGAACCGTCGGTTCCCATCTGGTTCAGATCGATTCTAAAGTGGAACCATCGATTCTCATCCGGTTCAGCCCGGTTCACACACGTAACACATGACACACACGTGCGAGCGTGCCCCACGCACACTCACACGTGTATCTAAGCACACGTGCTAGCATGTCCCACGCACACTCACACGCGCACACATGTGTCCGAGCACACGTGCGAGCGTGCCCCACACACACTCACACGTGTGTTCGAGCGGACGTGTGAGCGTACCCCACGCACACTCACACGCGTACATGTGTGTCCAAACGCACATGCGAGGTTGCCCTAATAT